TAACCCATAAACAACAACCCCACAAGATTTTAATCTAATTCATCTAAAAAATAGCAGATTTTGAAGCTATTTTTGAGAAATTTTTAAAGTTTAAAAATGATTTTTCAAGCTATTGGTCATGATTTCTCTTGGTACGAAAATATGTGATTTTTGTATTAAAAACAACATAAAAATAGTGGAAAAACAGCAGGGGAACAAAAATCCTTAAACCAATTTTCATTTTACATAAATGAAACAAGATCGATTTAAAGAAATATTGAAACTTTCATAATATGAACCCTATGTTTCATGGGATATGTTATTTTACCTACCACTTTTTATGCCTACCTTTGTCTACCATCCTCCAACACCGTTAGATCAGAATCTTAAGAAGAGAGAGAAAAATAAATGTTAGTTAAGATTCTGATCTAATGATGTTTTAGAGTGGTAGGCAAAGATAGGCAGAAAAAATAGTAGGTAGAATAACCTATACCATGTTTCATAATAATACATTCATGAACGAAATTCTTTCGCTATAAGAAACGATTTCAAACAAATTTTTTGTTAAAGACCCAAAATGAGCTTTACTCTTATTTTAATCACATTTAGTTTATGTAGTTGAATTTAAGTTATGATATTTTTACACACATTTTAGCTCACATCTTTTATCATGAAAAGCAAAAAATGTTTAACTCTTCTTTTTTGTTTTCTTATTAAAATATCATTAAATTTTTATATGTTTCACTATAAATTTTGAGCTATTTTTTTTTGTTGATAAACTGAGCTATTTTATTTCTCAAGTCATACGACTTCATCTTTTTTAATATATTTTTTCTTTAAGTGTTAAAGTATAATAAAAAACTTAAATAAATATAGATATTATGAATAAAACGTATTTTATATATACATATAAATGTGGGTATATTATTTTAAATTAAATTAAAATTTAATTTTATAATTAAAAAAATCAATACAATTCCATTTTTTAAGCGTGAAATTGGAGAGTTAATATTTCTCACGTGAGTGAGACAGTAAAATATATTAAAGAGCAGTTAATTTCCAAACAAAAATTGAGTGGGAAAGAAAATTAAGGTACCATTGGCATTGTTACAAGTGCTTGAGTATAATTTGAAAGGCACACCTAATTCAAAAAAATTATGTTTGATATGGCAATTAATTGATAAATATACCTACAAGCTTTGGGTGATCCTCAAGTGTCTTGAGATAGCTTGGGATTGTGGTACGACCTTCTCGGAGGTGGGAAGTGATTCATCTTTAGCAATGGAGGCTATTAACAGAAGACTGGTTTCTGATGTTTGCTGTTAATAAGTGTATCAAGGATTGGTGTTCTTAGGAGTGGGAAACTCATTTCATTCATGTCAGAAAGGAAAAGAACAGGTATGCCGACTGGTTGGCAAAATTCAGGTTTGATTCTGATGGTGGATTTGTCATTCATCAGTGGAGTTGCTGGCTATTGATGCAAGAGCATTAGTTGATTAACTTTTGTTATGTTTTTCTTTTCTGGGCTTAGGCCCATTATGTACTACAAAAAATAAAAAAAAATCACATTGACACTAGTTTTTGGAACTGTAACCAAAGTGTCACAAATTCAATTTTTTTTTTTTTTTTTTTGCCTAAATGCCACTTTTGCAAAATCACTATATCACGTTACGAACTTTGTAAACGTGGCATGTTTCTGGTGCCCACCTGATTCATTACATCATTGATAATAATGAATTAGGTTGTCAAAATATCAATATGTTCTAAGCAAAAGTAAGATACAGGATAATTTGATACGAATTTGCTATATACGTTAGCGAATTAGGGGACCATTATAAGATAAAGTTAAAAAAGAAACAAAAAATTGTTTGGTAATTACATAAATTATTTAGTTTAAAAGTTACTTAAAAGCACATATTTAAAAAAATTGTCTCTATATCTTTATAGTGCTTCATTTTAAAAATATTTTACACAACTAAAGAAACGGTCACATGTATAGGAGACCAACTGGGCATTGGTCATGGTCTAAAATCTTATCTTATAGAAGCTCATAAAGGTCCATTTACGGGCCAGGGCCAGAAAGCCTATATGAGATCCATGGTATGCTCCATTCTCTCTTTACCCTAAATTATTAGGCTCTTTAACCATTCACCTTATATATTCCATTCCCCTTTATCCATATCTAACTAGCTACTGACTATGGTACACAACTTTCATTGTTCACACATCACATGTGGATGATGTGAGCTTAAAAAAAAAACTTCTCTTAAAAGTTTTTGGTTTTTAACTTTTTTCTTCGTTAAGTAATTTTTTTTTCATTATAAGAGCTTTTTTCAAAATTTATTTGGCTTAACTTTTGCTTATAAGTAACTTCTAATTTAAAATAGGAGTATAGAAACAAGCACTCAAGATATATATATATATATATATATATATATATATATATATATACTCTCGAAAGCAAGTTTCGTACTTATCAACTTCTTAAAAAGTAAAAGAAAAATAATTGCCTCATATCACATAAGACAACTATCTTATGTTATGCATTCATGGAATTTTGTACGCAAATTTTCTTTTTCTTTTACATTTTTTTTTAAATTGGGGGTCTCACAACTTTAAAAATACTAATGAATATAAATTTTAAAAATAATGTATATAGAGATAGAATATTGTTACTATCATTTAGTGTTATTACCAATATCATTATCTGTTTGTTTCACCGTTAGATCAATTATATTAATCCAACGGTTCTGATTTAATTTTCTAAAAACTTTTTTTCTTCTCCCTATATTTAATACTATATAATTATTTTCACCTTTGTATAGTTATGATTTCTCATATTTAATATTTAAATCATAATCATATAAAGGTGAAAATAAATATAACCGTTGGATAACATAATCAATCTAACGATGAGTCAAATTGATAGTGACATTAATAGTAACACTAATTAATAATAACAATCCTATCTCATATATATAGTAGAAACTTTTAATTCAGTGTATAGTATATTGTGTGAAATGTTTATTTGAAAAAACCATTTGCTATTTAAGATAATTTTAACAATTGCATTATTATTCTTATTATTAAAATACTTGATACAAATATGTTTTCCATTTCATTTAACATATTTATGTATTTAGTAAAGAGCTGGGTAAAAACTTTAAATTCCAGTAAAAATATAAAAATAAAATTTCTGTGTTAGAAATGTGGTAGAAGCTTTTGAAATTCCAGTTATTAAATTCAGACACATACGGAAATTGAGTCATTCTAAATAGAGATGAAAGAATTTGAAGGAATGCCGGGCCAGTATAGGATTTGAATCCTCTTATGTGAAAAAGTGATCATATGGTTATATTATTTGATCACAACCATTCATTGATAATGAGATAAGAGAAAAAAATGTATGACTTTTAAACGAGTAATTGTGTTCAAATAATATGACCACATTTGAGAGGAGGGTGTATTGGATTGGATCCAAATCTGAACACTGGTTCTTATTAGGAGGGTGTATTGGATTGGAATTTCAAAGGATTTTAATGGATTATTTTTTGATAAAAAAATCTATTAGTATTCAATTAGAATTTTAAAATATTATTTTAGAGTCCATCCAAATCCGTTGATATTCAATCGAGATTTTAAATAAAGAAAAAACAATCTTGTAGTATTCAAAAATCTTACGATTTTAATGAATTTTCTATTGGTGTGAATTTCGTGAGACTTTTTAGTGATAAATATAAATAGGATGTCTCTTTCATAATCTCACCCTAACTCCTAGGATTTTTTGAGATTTTTCTATTGCAGTGTCTTCTTCTTCTTTTGGTGGGTCGATCCGCTCGAAACCGAGTTCCACCCCGGGAGCTTCATAAAAAATAATAGATTTTTAAGCTATTTTCATCACAAAATAACCCATAAACAACAACCCCACAAGATTTTAATCTAATTCATCTAAAAAATAGCAGATTTTGAAGCTATTTTTGAGAAATTTTTAAAGTTTAAAAATGATTTTTCAAGCTATTGGTCATGATTTCTCTTGGTACGAAAATATGTGATTTTTGTATTAAAAACAACATAAAAATAGTGGAAAAACAGCAGGGGAACAAAAATCCTTAAACCAATTTTCATTTTACATAAATGAAACAAGATCGATTTAAAGAAATATTGAAACTTTCATAATATGAACCCTATGTTTCATGGGATATGTTATTTTACCTACCACTTTTATGCCTACCTTTGTCTACCATCCTCCAACACCGTTAGATCAGAATCTTAAGAAGAGAGAGAAAAATAAATGTTAGTTAAGATTCTGATCTAATGATGTTTTAGAGTGGTAGGCAAAGATAGGCAGAAAAAATAGTAGGTAGAATAACCTATACCATGTTTCATAATAATACATTCATGAACGAAATTCTTTCGCTATAAGAAACGATTTCAAACAAATTTTGTGTCAATAGATCATTAAAAACTTGTTTTTCAAAACCCCCAAAACAATTTAAGATTTCAATGTATTGATTGAAAACAGTTTGAGAAATTTTCTAAACTTTCATGTAATAAAACCCAGAAAATTCAGATTCAAAATTTTCTTGGAATACTCAATAAAAACATACATATGATATATGGTTGGAAAACTCTCAGCACGTAAAACAAAAACCTAAGGTTTACAAAATCAATTGCAAAAATTTACAAACGAAAATTTATCATGAATTTTATTAATTGAGAAAATTATATTACATTTTACTTTTTTTATTAATATCATTGCATTTCGTTGTTATCGTTTTTAATCAACTATTGTAATTTTGAATGTTTGTTAAAAGTTCATACGATTTTTAAAATTTTTATAAATCTATATTGTCATTTCAAATCTTATAAATTCTATTAAAATTCTTTAAAATTCAATATTATGAAATCTTGATTGTAATTTTTTTTTTTTAAAAAAAAGTCTTTAAAGTCTCTTTAATTCTGAATAGTTTTTTAAAATCTATAAAAAAAATTTATTTCAAAAAATCTTTTAAAATCTTAATCCAATACATCCATAATTTGCAAACTTCCGGAGAGCAAAAATAATCATTTTTTAATCTTTGCAGTGTTGTGCTAAAAGGGCAATTGCAAGAGAGAGCATATTTTTGAAGGGGAAACAATCAGAACCTCGTCATGTGTACATGTCAGAGAAGGGGGTCATCTGTTCAGAAAATAAAAGGAGTGAGGTGAAGGGCACGAAGCATACACATAGAGTATTTCGCAAGTAAAAATATTGAAAGATGATTCGTATAACCTTGGTAATTTGGGGAACAGTGATCAAAATGACATGTTTGGATAAAAAAATTATCAGACTGCCACGCCAACAGTAAATTTTGCTAAAATGACACGCAGCATAATTCGCTACACAGTGTAGCGAATTATGTATGCAAGTAATTCGCTACACAGTGTAGCGAAATATGTCACGTCAGAACACACAAAACAAAAAATTCCACGTGTCAAATTTTGCAAAATTCGCTACATAGGGTAGCGAATTTGGCAAAATTTGACATGTGACATTTTTTGTTCTGACGTGGCATATTTCGCTACACTGTGTAGCGAATTACTTGCATACAATTTACTATTGGCGTGACAATCTGATAATTTTTTTGTACAAACGTGACAAAATAGTCACTCTCCCGTGATTTGGAGGGCGCTCAAAGTCCTGCTTTTACTTTAAACAAACTGATATTTTGATCTCAAATTCATTACAAATAACAAATTAGGTAACAATAAAAAAAACGTGCGACGTTTACAAACAAAAATGGCTCCCTATTGTAACGAATTTACACAGGTAGCATTTTAAACTTTTTTACTATTCGTATGGCATTTAAAAGAAAAAAATTGGGATTTGTGACACTTTGATCACTATTTCCTAGTTTTCCATTCTATACTTAAATAATTATATTGGCACTATTATTTTTGTAAGAAAGACCTTTCACCAAACCCATTGCAATGATATGTCATCCATTAACGGAAAAAGAAAAAGGTAAAACAGTTACATAAAAAATTACCATCTCTAATTATTAGACCTCCATTCAAGGAAACAAATTCCTTATGTCTTAATCGATATTACATAATTACTTCTTAAACAATAGGATAGCTTATATACTAAATTATTTATTTGTTGAAATAAATACATAAAAAGAATCTCACACTTTATGTTTATACTACTATAAATCTATAATGAAAGACATAAATTCCCCACCCATTCCAGAAAGGGCATCACCGCAAAAGTAAATTTGATTCCAAATGTGACGCAACATACATATGACTTTAGTATGTGCCGTTGATATATTTATGATGATTGATAATTTTCAACCTAAATCAACGGAATACTGACATCAATTACAAATTCACACCTGCCCCTTTTAATAAAAATAAAAAGGAACGTAAATTTATCTTTAAGGAAAATAAATAAAAATATGTTTATTTAAATATAACATCCTCTTAATTCATTTAAATTTAAAAATAGATATGCAAAAACCATGCTATAACTTTTTCATCCAAAGAGATTTTCATTTTATTTTTCTTCACTGTCCAACCTTGTGTCATATGGTCGAAAAAAAAAAAAAACTTGTAGCACAAGAATAGGAATAGATATAAGAGATAAGTGGTTATACCTATTTTTTCTTTCTGACCATCTTGATTTATCATTCTTCTACACTCGTTGTATCGGAATCTCAAGAGGAAAAAAAAAATTAAAATTAATTGAAATTCTGATGTAACAATATTTTAAAGTGATAGATAAAATAACTTATTTCTAGATACAATAAAAGGTTTAAAATTTTCAAAGTTATTTTAGATAATTTTATTTAATATTCATAAAAATAAATACATAAAAATTTGTGACGTCCATAATTTTTCTCTGTTCTCTTCGCACGTGTTCAGATAGAACTCACACATTTGTTTTATGTGTATTTTGATAAATATTAAATAAAGTTATCTATAATAATTTAGAAACTTTAGACCCTATAATAAAATGAAAGGAAAACTTTAAAAAAACCTTATAAGTTTTCTTAAAATCACTTATCGCCTCTCGAAATTTTTAATCATTTACTCTTTTACTTAAAATTTCTTTATTACTTATTCTTTAATTTAATTTTCCATCCAAAATTTTATATAATTTTAGACTAACTCTTGTAAGCAAGATGTGAATGTAAATCAACTATTGAATCGTCTCTCCCTCTACTTCATGGGCATCAGACAGACAGACAGGTAATCAGTAATTAGCATATTCTATTTCAAAGGAAAAAGGAAATATAAAAAAAGCTCCATAGGTGATAATAGATGCCTTCACTAATAATCTGTTACCACCACTATACTTGACAGCCTAATTTTTTACAATTAATTAACTCCGAAAAAGAACGAAAAACGAATGCAGAAATTGAAATTCTTTTCTTCATAGAATAAAACAAAGGAAATGGAGGAGGACTCAAAAACAAACCTTTCGTTTGTGGTCGTTACCACCCGCCGCCGAAAACCGTATCTACTCGTCGTCGCCGCCGTCTGCGGCCTCAGGAGCGACGGTGTTCAAATCGAAACCCTCATTAATTATGACCTCCTCGCCCTTGTTTTTATTAACGGCAGCACCGCCAGTTTCACGGTGGTGATCGTCGACGTTTTCACCGTCTTCCACCCTGACATCCGCTTGCTCGAGCACCTCCCTCCATTCCTTGCCACCTCTACCTTTGTCGTCGAAGTACTTCACGGCCACCTTCATCCTCCTCAGGATGGCGAAAAACTCCTCCACCTCCTCCTCCGTGGGAACCGCCACCGGGTCACCGGAAGCGCCGCCTCCACAGCCACTGGCACCACCGTCTTCCACCCTCAACTTCTTCAATCTGTCCCTCTCTCCTTCGTTCGCCTTCACGTCGCCTCTTGTGACCCTTTTCTTCCTCTTGTCCACTTCCATGACAAAGTGAGGTGAATCAGATCTACCAGAAGGAACATTTAATATTATATGTGGAATGTGGTGTTGAGTGATGACCTCACTCTCCTTGTTAAGAAATTAGTATTGTTATATTTGACATAATAACGGGAAATGATATTATAACAACCAAGTTGTATCAGTACATGTTACTATTAATCTCATCGTTAGATCGATTATGTTGATCTAAGGATTATATTTATTTCCATCTTTGTATTGGTTATGATTCTCCATATTTGAAAAAAAATATCCTTGAAATAATTATAATCACTGGATCAACATAATTGATTTAACGGTGAGATTGATTGGTAATAACACAATTTGATTGTTACAATATCCTTCTCTTATATTTGATATAGTAATTATAAAAATAATTCTAAGAGATTATAAAGAATAGAGTAAAGCTTTTTTTTCTATCCCTAATAAAAAATATCGATTTTACTTTTGTTTTTGTTTTTTAATTTTTTTAGAGGCTAAATTAAATTTTCATTGAATTTTTGACCCATTATATTTTTAAAAAATTAGAACTATAAAAGAATAAAAAAATTAACTTTTTTTTTGTAAAAGATAAAAATAAGAATGTTAGGGATCAGAAGAAACTTTTCTCGTAAGTACGATTTTTTTTTTTTCACTATCTTAAAATTAAGACTATAGTCAAATGATCCTAATCAGTGGCGTAGTTGTATTGGACCAGCAAATGCCGTGGCACTAGTTAATTTTCAAAATTAGAAAAAAAAATTGATCTTCGATGATTGTAAATGATTTACTTCTTCCTGCTGATTTTGCATAACTTCTTCCATGGTTAGCTAAATTTTAATACTAGCTTTTCAATTTTTGTAATTCCATCACTCATCCTAACCTTCCTCCCCTAGGATAGTTAAATTTGATCCTATCACACAAAGACGGGTTAAAGTTTTCAAGTTCAATAATAAAAAGTTAGATTGAATCAATCAAGGTTTTATATATACATGTATAATATATAAGGTTCGTTTTTTCTACAATTAATGTAGATAATTTATTTACATTGAGTTCAAAACGATATCGTTTTGAGACGAAAATTAATGTATTCTTGTAATTATAATTTATATCTGGGTTATAATAGTTTTTTTTTTTTTAATTTTTCAACTCAAAATAACGTCATTTTGAAAGCAAATGTAGATAACTTATTTACATTCACTTTAGAAACATTAAAGTCAATATATAAATTTGTAACGACGTGCAAAAAAAAAAAACATTTATAAATATAAATAAAATTAACAAAATATATTTTTAATATAAAATAAAACAACTTATCACATGAACAAGTACTAAATAAAAAATATTGTATTATTTTAGTATAATTTTATAACTTATTAAAAAAAAATAGTACCAATTATATCAAAATAATTTTTTTTATCCTACATTAATTAGGTTTAAAATAATGACAGATGTTATTATCATAAATAAAACTTACTTTTTTTTATTATATTATAAAATCTTATTTATTTCAATTTACATAAAACTTTTTCCACTGATTAGGTACTTTTGACTCAAGGAAGAGACGGAGGATGGCGTCAGATAGATGGGTGAGGTGGCGTCAGGGTGATTGCGTGTGTGTACAAATGCAATTATGCGATTCTCTATGGACTGACGAGTGACGAGTGACGAGTGGTTGGAATTGAGCAGCTTCACGCGTATTTAATGCATCTTGTTTGGTTCGTCGTTGAAATTGATCATTGGAAAGGCAAACACCACACGTTAATATCAGAGTCTAGAGAATTCAGAGGGGTAACATGCTAACATGTTTGGTAATAATTTATTTCATTTAAATTTTAAACACCAAACTTAATTGACGTTATATTTGAAATATCATTTCAATTTTCAATTTTCAATTTTTTTTATTAAGTTACTTGTAACGTCTGACAATTTACAAGGATCAACGACTATCCCTACACACTAACACGAGACTTTTCAACGTGTTTTATCCTTACCCGCACACTTTTCGGGAAAACTTCTCAGGAGGTCACCCATCACATAATTGCTTCAAGTCAAGTACACTTAACTATGAAGTTCTTTCGTTGCGGGCTATCGAAAAGTGATCTTGTTAGTATAGGTAGTACCAATTAATTCTTATAAGCTATTTCTAACTGTACCGTCCTATAGCAGTACAGTCTCTGGAATCCCTCTCTTTCGGATGTTGATTCGATTCATTCATATACCAGTCGCTGGAAGCCTGCCAGGAGCCGCTCTTTGTCCATGTTCTTTCGCACAGACGATCACTCCCCACCCTCGTTAGCGCTCGGGATGTTACATTAGTTATTGTAATATAATATTATGGACATGACAGTATTTTTAAAATACTTTTTTAATAAGTGAAACATAAATAGTTAAAATAATATTTGATAAAATTGATTTTTTTTTATATTTTATGGAATGAACCGATACAAATTGATAAAAATATTTTCCTTTTTTTAGACACATGACTTTTTACTTTAATCATCATCATGTAAGGATGATTTAATTTATTTATTTTTATAAATAAAAAGGACTAAGAGCCCAAAACAAAAGAAAACAAAAGATGAAGCTACCCAGGGAGTGCCACAGCATGCTCCCTTCCTATTGAAGCCAGATCACCAAGATATAAATGTTGCACACCAAGCGGAGGATGACTGAAAAAACATTGATCAGCTAGCTCAGCAGAATCTAAAATAAAGTTAGCTAGCCAATCTGCACACGAGTTTCCTTCCTTGAAATTGTGATGGAGATAAACCTTCCACTCTTTTCCAAGCCACGTCCGTATACGAAAAACCAACTGCACCTCACGGACTTCTACACCACTCTTGGTGAGCACAGTAATTGCCAACAACGAATCACTTTCTAAAATAATTTTCCTGTAACCCTTGCTCCAAGCCCTTTCCAAACCCCTCAGAATACCCCATAATTCAGCTTTAAAAAAAGAGCAGAAACCCAACTTATATGCAAATTCATCCAACCAAATACCTTGGGAATTCCTAATTTCATCCCCACAAGCTGTCACACCAGGATTACCATGGGAAGCTCCATCCTTATTTACCTTCACAAACCCATCTTCAGGAAAGCTCCAAGACACAAGGACATTGCTAATAAGAGGACTCTGATTAGAAGACTTTTGGTTTGTAACACAACATTATCTGTCTCTGAAATAAATTTTTTAATTATTTATACTTTACTCCCAACCATGGGCACCTCTTCTCCATGATTCATCATAATCCTCCAGCTCCAAATCTTCCAACAAGTAACCAAAAAACTGGACAGCCAATTATCCTGACTATTATCCTCGAAACTACCGCTAAAATTAATAGTAATCCACTGCTCAAACGAAAAGTTAAAGAAGACAATCCCAAATTACTTTAGCCTTGTGACAATCCCAAATTACTTTAGCCTTGTGACAATCCCTCAAAGCATGAATGATGGTTTCAGGTACCCCAATTCCACAAGAACACATACCATCACTACCATTCCAAATGGACATATAACCATTCTATATGAATTTTTTTATTCTTTGAGGAGCCTTCTAAGTCCAAAGCCTATTCCAAATCTTTTTAACAGCATCATCAATGACTTCATAATTGAACATGTAATCATATAAGACACTCACATAAACAGATTGGGATTTATGAATCCCTCAAATCTTTCTATCAGGACCATCATAGGCCTTAGGAGGTAAAACACTCTGGATAATATCAACAATATTTAAAGGTAACCAACTGTTCAGCTTAGAAAAATCGCACTCACCTGAAAGGCTTACAACATCAGCAACCTTTACATTTTCCAGCCTCATAATATCCTCATCTTTAGCAAACTCTTCCAATTTGTAGGAACCTGGAAGCTAAACATCCTTCCAGAACCTAACCTCCTTGTCATTGCCAAGCTCCCATTCCATATTATGCTCCATAACATGCCACAATCTGCAAACATTTTGCACAAACTCGAGTCATTATTTTTTGTAACAAAGAGAGAATTTGACCTTGTACCAACCTTGTATTTGGCATGCAGCACTGGCACCCAAAGCTGGTCAGGATAATTTAATTATTAAAATTTATTTATCTCACTTTCACATTATATTATTTCTTTCATTTCACATTAAATATTACCCATGAATAAAATATATGATCAAGTGGTATATATTTTCATTTATATTTTAAAAACTATCTCACTTTAATTTTAAAATGAAATTAATAAAGAAAAAGAATCTTGAATCAATTTAAGATTTTAAAAGCATATATAAAGCTTCTTTTAAAAAATAAAAATTTTAGTAAAATTTTATAAATAATTTACAAATAATTTTGCTTTATAATGTCGCCAACGAATCTTAACTCATTCTTATATGGGGGCGTTTGGTACAGGAGAAATTTTTTTTTTGCCGGGAATCTCAATTTTCAAAAATATGATTTTTACATTCACTTTATGATATTATCCGTATATTTAAAATTTAGAAAAATTCAATTTACCGAGATTCTTGAAGAATTCTGCGTACCAAATGTCAACAGAAATCTGATCCTGTTGGCTAAAGACTAAAGTAATAGATATTTTAAGGGACAGTAACATTGCTTTCTGGCTGGGTTTCAAAATTCCACAGCGAGTCTAATCCACAGGGCCAACATCGCACAAAGGAATAGTGGGCTTTAATGTCCAATTACATTGGCCTAAGTAAAGCTTGATTTGACTAAAAAGATGTCTATTTTAAATTTTCCATCGTTCGGACGAGGAGGATATCAGAAAGATATTTTTAATTCTTGAAAATATTCTTAGGACCGTGTGACAGCTATTTTTTTCTTCCAATTTTAATACGGGGAGCAGAATTAATTGGCAATTACAAAAATGATTGTAAATTTTTAATCCACATACTTAATTTCTTTTATTTTGTATAAATTTTTTAATTTTTGAATCCATAATTTTATAAATTACCTAATTTTTCACCCCTGGGCACAGTAGTAGAGGTTTAAGATTTTTTCATTTAAAATTAAAGATTCTTATAATAATATGAATTATAAATATATTTAGGAATATGGTTTATAGTACATCATTCCAACTTTAATGAAACATGTAGTTCGGATTCGA